TGTGATTCTGTGTGATTCTGTGAATTGTAACACACACCACACATCACCATTCCATACATCCACTCCCCCACCACCCAAGAAAAGACTGGCCTGGACCACATGTAAAGATACACAATTGAAGTTCAGCAAGCCTTACCACAACATAAAATTGATTTTGTTGATTTCACAAAATAACCAATAGAGAGATTTAAAATGTTGAAACATGCTATCACTCTTTAACAGCACTTTACAATAAAATAGTGGTATGGGTACTGAAGAGAATACTACATAGATACACTTTGATGCCTTTGACGCAACTCCTTATAGAACTATAATTGCTAAAATGTAGAAGGATGAGACAAGACTCAGTAATATGTTATGAAAATTATGAAAAACTGTTTTCAGTTCCATTGCTGAGTAGTGTCAAGAAATATCTCTGTTTTCATGCTACTGGCATGAAACACATCATGGTACAATTACATAATTCCTTCGAAAAGGAAAAATATATAAGTAGCACCATAGAACAAAGTTTTTATCTAGATAAACTATAAAATCATTTTCTAAATATATATCAAAAAAGTGATTGCAAGGAAATTATTTTCAAGTGTTATCACTGAGGAGTCCTCTGTCTTCTTGTCACTAGCAATAATGTGAAGCTAGGATTCCACTCCATCTACAACCAGTAAGCATGTCTAAAACCTTCCTACATGTGATTGCTTCCTCTTCACTTCCCAGAAAAGAATTTAAAGTCTCAACATTTAAGCATGAAAGGTACAGAGAAAGGTGATAAGGATGTTAAAGAACTGTGGAACAGCTCTTGGCTGGGGAATGACTAAAGAGAGAACAACTGTTAGGTGTCTCTTCTAGTACCTGCAGAAATGCTATCAAATGAAGCCAGCAGAGGCAGGTTCAAAATAAATGAAAGGTGAGGTTTTTTTGTTTGGGTTTTTTTTTTTTTTTGGTTAAGACATATGGAATCATGAAAATGCCTGCCAGATGAATTTTTAAAAAGTGATTAGCTAAAAATCCACTGAGGCAGATGAACAGGAAAGACTGATAGACCAGTAAGTCTTTGAACACTTCTGAAAGCTGGAAGAATACTTGGGAAAGTACTGCTTTCTAGTACAGTATGTACTCTTACATGCACCCCTAGGCAACTACCAGTAGCCTCAGAGACAGGAATCTGGGAGTGCTAGCCATTTAGCCTGGCACAGTACAGCCATTCATATATACCTGCCTCCAAAAACTCTTGTAGGATTTACTCCATGCCAAACAGAATAATTTAACATTACAGGTATTAGCAGCATTACTAATTCTTGTAATTTGTACTAATATTACTAAACCAAGTATCTTTTTTTCAAATGCACTATGAAAACTCCAAGCAACTGAGCAGCCTGAAAATCAAAACAGTTTCACACCTCGCAGAGGTGTAGTCAGGTCCACAGTGCAGCACACCAGCTTCTTGCAGGAGCCCACTTCCATAGTTAATGTGCCTAAAAGCTGAGAAGCTCCCACTGCATCCTGGCCAAGGGTAGAGCTAGTTGTCGTTCTGATCACCATCAAATCTGAAAACTCTGACTTCTGTCATAGTATTTCATTTATTTTGTTCCATGTATTTAATTTCTTCTGTGCCCAAATTAAAAGTTGCCATGCGGCTCAAGTTGTCAAATAGAAGAATACTTCAAGGACACTTAGTATTGTAGTTGCTTGTTGCTTTGAGCAATAAATTTGCGTATTTTTTTTTCTAGTTTTGTTTTTTAAAGTCTGGCACCAGACTTGGTTGCTTGTTCTTTATGAAGCCTTAATCTAGGAAACAATTTGTAGAACAATTCCAATGTTTATTATGAACCCTTAGATGCTCATGATTAAAAAGAAAGATGTATTAAGCATTTTTGTGTGGGACCCACATGACTCACTTTTCTCAGTATTTAAGCAGAATTAATTACTGAAATATCCTCTCATTAAATGGGCCTGTAACTTTATTTGAAATTGCCTGTGTATTATAAAGGCAGCTTGTGAAATGCCTTGAGAACAATTTCTTTTGTTGCATGTTGCTGTTTTTGCTATAGATATATAAAAAAGTAACAATGAAAACTCATCAGAATTGCACAATATTCCAGAACATTTGAATAATTACATACAACCAGAATCTGTAAAACTTAACTATTTTTAGAACTGATCACACTTCAGGGCTACATTTTTCTGCACGACAACAGTTGTTTAATTAGTACATGTTTAATCAATGGAAGTGATAGCTATGTACAAGCTGTGCTGACCTGAAAGCACTTAATTTTTCCCTGACAAAAGGTTCTGCTCAGTATTTGAAGAAATACAGCTTTCAGTGAAAGTAAAATTGTTTTCAAGAATATTATATTTGCAGTTTTAAGTATTAAATACAATTGCAATAAAACCCAATATTGACCTAGTGTCTAACAAACAATAAAAAAACTGAATATGCTTGCCTCCCATCAAACGAGGTCTCCAACTAACATTACACCATATCAAAAATACCAGAAAGATTTTATAGAGCTTTTTCTCACTTTTGTATGAAAAATACATTAAGACATCCCCCTAGATGCATGCATCTCCATTTTGACCTCCACTTACATAACCTAAACTTGCCACTTCCTCGACAAACTCCCTACTCGTGCACAGTGTTGCGTTGTGGCAGTATTCTTACAGTACTAGGCTGGGTGAGGTTCTCTTCCCCTTTTTGAAAGGCAGAATGTCTCTGTTTTTGAAGAAAAGACTGTAAGACTCTTGCCTGCAATTCTTCCAGGTAACGTGGGATGTAACTGAGAACGCCTCTGTACGCACACAGCAATAAACACCTTGGTTACTGTTGTCTTATGATATCCAAATTATACAAAGCCAAAACTAATAGGAATTTCTGTTAAGCAAGCATGCTGACAGATGGCAGCAATCTAAACTGAGAATAGCACCAAAAATACATCGCTCAGAAGTGAAAAAGAACTCAGGGAGCAGTATTGACTTGTTTTGTTACCTGAAGATCATAGTACATCCTAACTCAATGAACTCAACAGAACCACTTGCAGACTGAGCAGCATTTTAATTTGCGCTAGGCTGATCAAATCTCATCTGTTTTGTCATCTGAAGATTTATTTTCTGAACCACAGAAACCAGGATGCTTATTATTAGGAGACAGGCAACTGTGCCACCCTTCTAGTAACCCTGGAGACTACTTGTACTAATAAGCCCTGCTTTTCAAGGTCCTGTGGCCTCTAGAACCGCAATTCTCATAACCTACTTGCTCACCTTAAACATCTTCAAAGTTTATGTCTGAGTGCCAAAAGTGATACAGAGAATAAACAACTTTATTTCATAACAGAATTACAGAAAGCAAAATATCACTTAATACAACTTGAAGCTGCTATAAATCTAATTTGGCATTTTAGCTATACACAGAGTTAACAGCAAAAAAACCCCATAACAAACAACTCCCTTGCAACAACAAAATAAAATTAAAATCCAAAATAATTAACAGGTTTTCTCAATGGCAGTCTCAAATGATGGTACTGTCTTATTTCTTTATGAATGGGGTCCATCATACACCTTTACTCAGTATCCTAAAAACCTGCATTAACCATTAGACGAAGCATCTGAAATGTATATACCTTCTCAATAACAGAAATGTCAGTTCTAACATGGAGTCAGTGAGGTTTAATAGAAAGCGAGCATTCTACATGTGTATTCAAAATAATGGAAGTGTTGAAGTTTGGACACAGTAAGAAAAAAGCACTAAGGTTTTAAGCTGCCTAGTTCATCTCTTGTTGGAAGAAGAGAAAGATATTTTGTTCTTCTTTCCTTATCTGGAATGCTGCAGACAGCAAAATGTCTGCAAAAAGTTGAGCATTGGCACCAAAGTGCAAAAAGAACACAGTGCTCAGCCAGAAGCAATGTGTCTGCAACTCCTCCTCCTCTATAGACTGGCACACCATCTCTGCGCCGCAGAGAGGAGAATCTTAGAACAGAAAGAGTTACAGATATATCAGTATAAAATTTATCCAAAGAAATATATTTTTTCAAATTTTAGGAAATGTATTTTTATAAAAATCTTTGTTATGTGATACCATATATTCACCTGAATAATCTGAAAAAAAAAAAAAAACCCAAAAACAAACCTGTAAATTACTCCAGTAAGAGATTTCACTTGAAACATTTGGAAAAAACTTTATCTAAATTAGAAAAGATCCCTCTTCCTGCACTATTACAACCTGCTCCAGTGAACAATGCTTTCTAGGCTTCTTTTTTGTTCACTTTCATATAACTAGGAATCAGCTTCAAAAATACAAGTATTTGTGCAAAAGAAGATCATACCCTCTAAAACTTCATCTAAAAAAAATAAAATCTAAGATTGTTAAGAAGTGGTTATAAAATATAAACAAGAAAGATTGTAAGGGAATGTAGACCGAAGATGTTAAAATGGAGTTTGGTATTGGCATTTATGTCTTCAACATCTGGTCATCATTGCTAGGCTTGGTGAATTCGGTAGAGTAGTGATGAGTTGGAATGATTACAGTTCTTCATAGTCATGATCATGGTCAGTATCATTTTTACTTCTATAAGAAAAAGGAGAGGGAAGATTATATAAGCATTTATAATGGACACTATGTGAATGTCACGTCATCAGAGTCAAAAAGTCATTTTTTCCATATAGGTTATTTTTGGGGAAGATTATTATTAAAAAAAAGCTGCATTAACTAAAGACCCCTTTGATCATGAGGTAAACAGTAATTCTGTTTCTATCAATGCTTTTCTTGCTTTAGTGTATTTGTTCCCCACTCCAAAATTCTCATGGTATTTTAATAGCCACCTCTTGCACAGCTTACTGAAAGATTTAATCCACAGTCTAGTGTATTTCAGCTGAAAATATGCACCTCTGATCAGTGACTAGTTCAGGAAGACTCAGATTCCTTGATAACAGTCACCTTTCACAGTGTAGCATCCAGCAGATACACTGCATACCCTCTCAAACTGACAGTTGCATCTTTTCTCCTCTGGATCACAGACGTGATACCTGACAGTGAAATCTTAAGCTCTTAGGAAACTCAGGGGCACAGGAATAAAACTGATATTCTCAACATGAGAAATTATCAGGGTTATGTGAAATACATCCTCCTCTATTTATAGTAGCTTACATCAAATTTGGAATCAATTCAGTGTCTCCTTTTTTTATATATTCCTGGCTGAAGTGCCAGGAATAGTGCCCATGACATCTAGTGGTCTCCTGAAGCTGCAGGATGAAGTTTATGACAGGTAGCTTTCTTTGGTAAAAAATTTCATTCAATACTAAGGGAATGCATGCCTGTGGAGGACCTAGAACTCTTTTTCACAGGCCACAATCACCATTGTATAAATCACCAAGGAAATAAGAATCATGACAATTCTCATTTCTTTAAAAAATACAAAATGTATTTCTCTTACCTTGTCTCCCCCTACATGAACATTGATCAAAATGCTTATTAAAAGCTTAAAGTTGTACTAAGACAAAGCATTCCCTCTTGAGATGTGCCAATAACATCTCTTCTCTTCTAGCTAACTACAGACTCATCAGTAGAAACTAAGATGTTGCTTTTTAAACTTTATTTTTAAATCTCTCCCATTGTTATTAAACCATTACAAATTATACCTTTTCCTTGAATCTGAATCTACAATTAATAAAACCATCAAGTTCGAAAAACCTGAAACTTCAGTTTCATGACATCAAACAGTGTGACAATCAAGTGAAATCTGAAGTTTTATATATACTCAGTTACTGAGCTTTAAGACACTAGCTTATAAACAGTGCAACAGAAGATTCATTCAGTGTTCATTCTGATCTTTCTATTGAATACTTCAAGTGGAGCAGGGGGCTTTTTTTTGGTTTTGTTTTGGGTGGGGTTTTTTTTTTTTTTTTCTTCTAGAAATGAGGGCCTAATAAACTGACATTCCTTCAAATACCTCTTTCAACTGATAAGAGGCTTGCCCCTGCCTGGGCAAAATGACAAAAGGTTAAGTATTCCAGCATTCTTAGGATTAAGAATTAGCTGACTAAATTAAAACATCCAAGTGTGCCTTTTCACTACTGGGAACTGCACACAGTTTTCCCACTAAACAAGCAAGATGTAAGGCAAGGACTGTGATTGTACATGTAAACAAAAATGTGACGCATCCTTCATGTTTCGCAGAAATAGCCCAAACACACTTCAATATGAACTACAAGACACTTACCACACATCACAGAAAACGCCATGAGAGTGCTGTGACAAAACTGGGTGGCATATACAGGAAAATTTGCAATTAAAGTTAATGTCAGATTGGACCTAAGATAAAAATTCTTACACTAACAGTCTACTACAAGCACCTGTTTCAACTCACAACTTTGTGATATCTCAAAGACCCACTATATTTTTCAAGCCTTTTATTACAGAACGCAACAGAAAACTGATGTTATGTTTTCCTATGTTAATTATATACATAAGCTTACCTGAAGTATTTGCTTGAGGGTATTTTTGATTTTACTCTTCATCTTCCTCAGCAAGTTCAGTTTCTTTGTGTACCACCACTCTTGTGACAGACATGTCAGGGTGCTGTTCTTTGGCTTCTTTGATTGCCTGTGCCAGGGCCTGCAAATGTATTTGAAATATGTAACTTGACAACAGGAAAAGGCCATTCACATGGGGCCAGAGAATGGGAGAGCAGCATAGGGAATTTTGGTTATAATTGTTCAGAACTCTGAATTCCTGAACTTGAGAGGGCTCAGGGGGAAGAAAAAAACCCAACCAAAAACCAAATAACAAAACCAAAATACAAAACACAACCCAAAACCAACCAACCTCCAAAATACAAAACCCAAACCAAAACAAAAACAAAGCAACTCACTATGCTACAAAGTTACCACAATTTCCAGAAATAACAAATAACCATAAAGTTATCCTGTAACTTTTCTAGCTCATTACAGGAGAAAAAACAGTATTCTTATAGCCCAGAAGTTTTTGAACATCTGCAACAGATCTGGCAAATAAAGACTTAACAAGAAGGTACACAGTAGAAAAAAATAAGAGTTCCCCTTCAGTTTCCTGAACAAAACGGAAAGATACTTCAGGATGTGCACTAAGTATGGTACTAAAACTCTGGAAGATCATAAAAGAAATTTCTTTCTCAGCACAAGAATCTCTTTTTTCTGCTTTTACTAGTTTAAGAGAACTTTCTCCAGCTTAACTCAGGGAAGTGCAAATGTAAGTATTACTCAGTTTATTATAATTCCTCCTCCACATTTTAAGAATTTTTATCTTCTTAAGAGATGTACCAATACACACAGCTGGCAGTTGGACTAGATGATCATTGCAAGTCCCTTCCAACTGAAATATTCTATTTTATTCTACACAAGGCTTTACAGTCAATCACACAAGAAGAAGCAAAAGACCACCTTGGACTTTCTATTCCTCTCCTTGATCTAAATTTTATTTCAGTGAGTTATATTACCATTGAAACCCAACACAAGAAAAAAAAAAGAAGAAACCAGAAGGCATTCTGAGGCAATAGCAAGTTCACTGTTCACCTTAGTATCAACCACAACCGAAGAACCCCAAATATGCTAGAAGAAGCAGGAAAAGCACAGTGCAACAAAAAGGCTTATCTTAATTTAGAAAAGTGACAAGTTCTTGAGCCATAGGTGGCAAATGGGAGAAGAAATAACTAACTCTGGAGAGAGATGGGAAACATCAACATTAGCCACATTAACTATTACATGATAATAAATTTGAAGACCTTTTAAGGAAACATATGCAGAAGAACACACAGTGTGCATTGGTACAATATTGATCTTTGCTGATGTTTTAATGCTAATAATTTATTAGTTTGTCTTTTACAATACGCCAAGTGTAATCTCTGTAGTACAAATGAGGATTTAAAAGAAAGTGGCTGATGAGATTTAAGAATCAGTATTTATAACCAAACTATAAACAATGAAAAAAAATCTTAAGTCTCTAACTGTTAAATTACAACAAGTAACACAAGCATTTGTATTCTCAAACTCCAAACTCAAGTATTATTTTCCTATTGAAAACTGTTTTGGTGATGTATGGAGCTAGAAGACAAAAGAATAAACTTTCAGCATATAGTTTATGCATTACTGAAGAAAAAGTGGTAGAGATTTCTTAAATCTGTTAAAAGGGCTCTCTGCTGCTTTAAACTTCAGTAATTAAACCTTATTTTGTACTTCCTCTTTTATAGTTTCATTTTTTTACTTCATGGTCCACTTATGTCAAAACAAAGGGCTTAGAGAACTGTCTGGTATACTAAAGGTATTGTGTGACCTTTCCAGATGTCTGAAGCACACTGAATGTGTATCAAAGAAAGCAAGAGCCATGCTTGATGCTGAACAGTCCTGTCATTTAATTACGAGTTTCAAGAAGAAATTCAGCTTGTCAAGAGCCACTTTCTGGAAGCAAGTCAAAATATGAAATTAACTTCCCTGAGAGCTCTCAGTATATTACAATTAAGAAGTTAAATTAAATCTTGTTATGTTGATTTGTGTTGCTTTCATAAAGTTAGAATCGGATTCACTGCAACTTCATGCAGAAGGGAGGCTTTTCAATTTCTGTTATCCAATGACTGTTGATTTACTTTGTTACTATAGTTTCTCAGATGAAAAACAATAAAAATTGTGTAATCATCACTACAAAGAATAGATAATTGCACTCAATTATTTTCCTGTGTACTGCTTAAATTCATCAGGCAGAAGTGATTTTAACCTTAGTTTCTAAGACATCATAAAATACTGCTTTGGTCCTGATAGAGATGAGAGGTACTTATGTAAGATTCCAGCAGATTAACAATTTCTTTTGTTACATAGAATTCTTTAAATACAAATCAAAAAACTATTTTATAAGTTTGAGCAGTTTATGGTTTAATGTATTTCAAAGCTTTCAGACAAAATAACTGCTGCATTCAGATATTGCTGACACAATGCGGTACAGGCTCCCATCTGTTCAGATTAATGTACCAAAATAAGATTATTTTAGTAATGCTTTTCCTCTCAAATGGCAAAAGCAGCACTGAACAAATCGGGTCTCTTCTGAAAAAAGCAATCACTTTAAAAATAGTAAGAAACCCATTCATGTGATATGATGCAAAGTTACAAATGTTATTTTTCTTTCTTAGATATTCTAAAGGCTCCTTATTCACAAAACACGATCACATAACAACTTTGCCACAATTAACAGTCTCAGGGTCTTCCTATGTCCTCTTATTCAACTTCTCTACCTTTCCCTTATTTAAAATTTCTGAAATACCATCTAGATGTCACAGGACTAGAAAAAGCACATGGTAAGTGTTAGCAGCTTACATACTCACCTCATCATGGTCAATATCTGCATCTCCTGTAATGACAATGCGCTTCTCAATTCTTGTTTCTGATACCCCACCTTTTACCATCTACAGATCACACAAAAAAAGAAGAAAACATCCTTGTAATTATTCCATATTGCTACAAAGCACTCCCTTCTGTTGCAATGAAGCAAATCAATTTCTGTGACTGAGTTGCAATTAGTAAATATTTTCAGTGCTAAATCATCCTTTCCTTTTTGGTTATGAGGTTAGTCACATTCGAGTAATTGCTAAACTTGATAAAAAACAAGCAATAAAGAATTCCTTCTGTTTCTGTTACTGGAGCCCAAGTTTGAACAGATCTAGATAAGCAGACAAACTGGAATTCCAGCTTCTGCCATATCTGGCAACAAGGAAATTCTAGGAGTCTTTTATTTCATTTCAACCCATCTATCATTGGCCTCTTCTCAGTCTCTGAAGAATCCCACGCCATCAAATACAAACATATAATCACAGAATCATAAAATCATAGAATCATTAAGGTTGGAAAAGACCTCAAGGATCATCAAGTCCAACCATCAACCCACATCACCTGACTCACTAAACCATGTCCCTAAGCACCACATCTACACGTTTCTTGAACACCTCCAGAGATGGTTTTCAGTTCTGCTGTCCACAGACCTTAGTGAGATATTTTCAACATATTTCACATTGCTGATGGAAATAATTTTGTGCTTTGTTTCTTCATTTCTTACTGTAATGATTAAAATATTTTAGCTTATAGAAAAATTCTCACAGAAGTAACATTCTATGCTTTTTAAAAATTATTATTTTAAATCAGCCTGTAGAAAAAAGAATAAACTACTACTTAAGACACACTGACTGTATTAGAAAAAAGAGGGTTGTCAAGCATTGGAACAGGCTGTCCAGGGAAGTGGTGAAGTCACCATCCCTGGAGGTATTTAAAAGATATATAGATGTGGTGCTTAGGGACATGGTTTTAGTTGTGGACTTGGCAGTGTTAGGTAACAGTTGGACTTGATGATCTTAGAGGTCTTTTCCAGCCTAAATGATTCTATGATTCTAAGATCCAATATGACTCTGTTAAAAACACTATTAGAATATTAAAACTATTTTGGCAGGTCCCTTTATCAATAATGAACAGTCTGGGATATAAAATAGAAAGTTAGTTAGAAAATTCAAATGGTCTTTTGAATCAATTATAAGCAGTCAGTAAGAAAAGCTACAGATCTGCTCCCTTATGGTAATCCCAGTACTTTTTTTAGTAGAAAACATGACTGAAACAATTTTCTTTAATGGTCCATTACAAAAAGCTGCATTATTTGACATCTGAACTTGACAAGTAAATGTCCACTTTTTTCCCCCCCTCTAGCTGTGATAGCACAATTTCTTCAATAAAGACTTTTTCCTAAAATGGTGGTAGCTTAATGATTTCAAAAGGGAGCAGGAGACTGAAAAGGACCTGTTGAATAGTCTGCATAACAAAACATACATATTTTAAATTCTGAGCTTACTTTATTTCATGTGACTTATCTGACAACTTTTCAACACCATCCTTCCACTGTCATTCTATGAATACAACTTTCAATCTTCAGAATATATATATTGAATATATATCCAGTGAGCAGTGAATTATTGATCCATTGTGCGATAATGTGAAACTTCTTGTGTTGGGAAGAAAAAAAAAGAAGTCCCAAACTTACACCTTACATTTCACTCTTCCCTTCTACTTCACCCTAGACAATGCTTTCTGTAATTTTATTGGAAAACTATGTTAAGAGTTCAAAGACAAGAGTTCAAAATTGTGCTATTTGGGCATGCCTCAAATTTGATAAATATTTACATAAATTAATAACAACAATAATAATCATCCTCAGCACTCTTTGGTAGTTCTAAAATACTCTGGCATGAAACATTACATGAGATTGAAACAGATGTGATGTCCTGTTAACACAGAGTTTTTCTTTCCTTTTCGAGCATGTCATGCAGAGCGCATAATTCAGCACCAGAATATGGCTGCAAAGTAATCTAGTGGTATATCTGTTTTAAAATATGCTCTAAACCTAGCAGCACAAGGATCATCAACGCTAAGGCTGAGAAAACACTGTTTCAGTTCATCCTTATAACTGATGCCACTAGCAAACCTCAAGACAAATCAGTTGCAGTAACAAAGATTCTGTAAGACATCAGTCACGACAGGACTGAAATTGTAAAAATTTAGGTACATACTAATTTGTCAAACACAGAAATAAGACCTATATGAAGTACTAAAAAATCTAATCATATTTTTCTCCCTTTCCCTGTCCTGTTTCCAGAAACTCCTGCTTCTTCATTAGGGCTTCTCTGTTCAAAATCTGTATACAGAAATATCAACTCACTCATGCCTGGAATGAATCCAACCCATTTCAAGTCACCTTTCTTCAATAAATTAGCAAATATATGAGAAACTTCATGTAAGACTTTATTTTGAGGGTTTGGGGGTTTTTTTAAGTTCAAAGAGACATTATTATATTTTACCTTTGTGATGTGTGTAGTTGTAGTAGTAGAAATTGACTCTGATGTAATTGTCTGTGCACTCAGTAGCACACCAGCATTGCCACCAGCACTGCCATCAAACTGTAAGGAAAAAAAAAAAAAAAGGTATTTTTGTATTTTGGCATTTAAAAGCTTTGTTTTAACAGGATAAAAAAAGCTGGTTTTCTTACCAAATACATTCTTTAGCTCAGTTAGAACTGAAATCTAAACAGAAGCAATCCAAGTTTACCAAGTCATGTAAAACTGTTGTGGCTCATTCTTGTGGAAAATTTATGATCAAAGTTACATGTTCCTTTCAGGAGCAATGAGATATTTCAGTCAAGTTTCCAAAACTGAGTTATACATTTGCAGACATCAACTAAGTCCTTAAGATAAAAAAAAAAAAAAAAAAACAAAAAAAACCAAAAAACACCCACACAAAACCAAACACCAAAAAACACTTAGAACTTCAGAAATAATACTGCTCTGTCTACACACATTTCACTTACCTAATTCATAGCCAAAGTATAATCTTAGCTTCTAGAAAAAAGTACAGGTGTCTGAAAAGCATTTTTTAGACATTATCTATTCTGATCTATAAGTAACCGGAATAAAAACCAGCTTGCAAATATAATAACCCAGACATCATACCTGTGGAGATTCATATGTGATAGTTTTAGTTTCTGTTTGAACAATTGGAACTTCTTTAGTGGAGATTTCAGTTCTCTGTGTGGCATCTGAAATGGTTACCATCTCTGTTTTCACTACTGGAGGCTGTGGTGCAAGAAATAACCAAATCAATTCAAAAGACAATAGAAGGTTTGTAAAGTGGACTAAGCAAACACAACCAAAAACTCTAGAAAAGTGTAACAGTAAGATTTGGCTGTCTTCCCAATCAAGAAGCATGCAATAAATAAGCAAAGTGAAATGAAGACTAACATACCAGCCCTCTAGTATCTACACAACACGGTTGGAAAATTTAACCTCCCAATAAGCTTGCCAAAGTTCTGTTTCAGCCAACAGTACATATGACAGAAGGCAAGTGCAACATGGGTATTGAAAATGTGTAAAAGAGCATCATTAGGGGGAAAAAAATAAAAAAAATCTTAGTTTGCATAAGGAAGCTGATGGCTAGCTCAGATGAATAAGTTTTATATTAGAATTATCTGGGAAAATACCTATCTTGCTCAGTTCAACTACAAATAAGGACTAGAAATTCCAAGGAAATTACATAAAAGTTTATCTTTTAAACATGTACTACTTCTGGAACAGAAAAACAACTTCGACAATTAGATTTTAAGCAGTCTACATTCAATGCAATAATTCTGGAAATCAATGGCCTCTACTGACAACAATCCTAAAAAGCCATTTCAGCGTCTAGAGTTACCTAGTGGTGTTTCATACATTATCATGAAGAAAGCAATTAACCAGGGGTCTGTAAGCCAGTGAACTCGTGATTTATTTTATTTGACCAGATTTTCCATACATTTAAGAACTCAAAAAAAAACTAGCAAAGCTTTCTGATACCTTTCTAGAGGTGTCAGCTGCTCTCTCCCATTGATTTTGGATGCATATGGTGGAAAATCCCAGAAAAAAACCCAAACCTTTATTTCCCTCACACACACTTGCACACACAGCAGCCCTTCTCCCCTTCCTCCACACTAGCTATGTTTTTAGGAATTGTGGGTGCCTGCAATTTCTAAATGTCTTGTAAACTAATTATTTCACATCACTAATCAGAACACCTGTGTATGCAAGACAACAAAAGAAAGAAGGTAAGTTGTTCAGATTTAAGTGCAAAGAAAAAAGCATTGCCATCATTACAAGAAGAAGCAGTTACATAACTAGGAGAAAACCCACCCAACTGTTGAAAAACTCAGCAGAAGGTCATGCCAACTTTACAAAGAGATGTATTCCTGTGCTTCACTTTTTTTCCTTTCTGCTTCTTCATAAAGTTTGCCCAGTAATGAACCCTTCAAACTTGTTTGGCTTAAAACTGATTGTGACTGGAACCCATGCATGCTTCCCTAAATATCTATTGCACTAGAAGACTTCATAGTAAGATCATGATAAATGCTTCATCCCTTTACAATGCAGCGCTATCACCGATGCAATTTCTAGCCATACACTCTAGTCTATAAATTCATAACATTTTTTAAAAGGAAAAAAAAAAGCAAGAAAAGCAGGGAATAATGAGGGGAAAAAAAAGGAACAAAAATCTGTGACATGTTTTGGGTGTTTTCTAATTTCAATTGCCAATAGTTTTCCAATCACAATTACATGTCATGGACATGTCAAAAACAATCAACAAATAGACAAGACGAGACTTAAAACACTGGAAACATGTAAATAATAAATATACATTATATATGTGCATATAAAATAAGGGGGACATAAAAAGGAGATGTCAGTCTTCGGAAGGTTTGCCTTACTGGTGATTCTCACTCAGTTCTAGCAAAAAATCAGAAACCACAACTGAAAGAGACAGAATTTCACTGCTCATCAATGGTTTCCCCTTCCAAATGATCTGAATCTTGTTGGATGCCTGAAGAGCTAGAGGAATAGGAGAAGAAGAAAGGCAGGTATATTTTCACCCCAAGAAATACCTCTGCTTAATCTAGTTGTCAAACTGTTCTACCATTTACCTCAGAACAACAAATTATTTGTGGTGCAACATCAATGTCAACATGAGATACATCTCCATTGAGTCTGAGCTGTTCTTCCTCTTTTTCTTCACCTAAATCTTGCTTAATTTCCTCTGACAAATTCTTCTCTTCTGTAGCTACAGTAACTGCATTTTCCTTGACCAAATCTTCAGCTGTAACTTGTGTGTGCTCAACTGGTATATTTAGTTTACTGCCTTCTGGTGTGGCTTCCATATGCTGTACTTTTTCTTCACGTTCTTTCCTTTTCACATCTTCCTCTTCCTCCTGTTCTTCCCTGATGACTTCCTCAACTGCCCTATGATGTGGCTGGTATTCTCCCACCTCTTCATCCTCACTCTCACTACTACTGCTGCTGCTGCTACTGTCTGATGGCAATGACGAAGAGTCCTTTTTTGACAGATGCTCCACCTTACATGCTTCCCCAGCATCAGTGGCAACTTGTATTTTCCCTCTGTTGGTTTCGTCTATGACTAGAGTTTCTTCTATCCCAACCTCTGCCTGCTTCTTCTCCTCCACTATGTCCAGAGTCTCATGTAAACTCTGCACAAAAAACATGGATGAGGAAAAACAAAAGTAAAGTATATGAATAAATTAAAATGATGGAAACAAAATTAGCTAATGGCTGGTTCATGTCATGTAGAAGAGAAAAGATTATTGTGATGGTTAACTGAAAAAGAAAGGAAAGAAAAAATGAAGATGGACTGGAAGAGTTAGAGCCAAATTTAAAAGCAGTAGAACCTTATCAGCATCGCTGACTCCAGTACAAGACCCTTCTGCTCTGGAAGCCTGTCTCTGTGAAACAAAAAGCAATCAGAGGACAAAAATCAATGCATAACCTTTTTCAACAGTGTAACATCCTCCAAGCAAGCTTTAAGAATGTATACACATGATACTAGACAGGTACTGTGTATTTACTGCAAGACTTGCATATTTCCCTTCCACTTCATTGAAACATTTCATTCAGAAGCAGGTAAGAATTATTGACATTATTAATTGGGATAAGAATTTAATTATGAAATGCTGAAAATAAAAGTATGAATGCTCTAGCCAGTGATGCTACTGAGGCAGTTATTTCTCTCAGTTAAATGAGAAATTAAGAATAAGTAATATTAAGGGAAATGAAAAAAAAACAACCAAATAATTTAACATTCTTCTATCAGTTTATCATCATACAAAGCAAAAAAAAAAAAAAGACTATTGTAATATTTTAATAGTTGTTCATCTTTGATCTGTTACTTTATGAAACTTAATAGGGAACAAGAGGGAGACTGTTTAGGGTGGCATGTTGTCAGAACTGCAATACATGAGTACCAAGATGACCCCATCAGGACTCAGTTAGGAATAGCTATATTAGTATTTGTTGCATAACAAAATGATCTGTGATGGATATCCCAGAAAGCCCACCACAAATTATGCATTAGGTAGTTTTTTTGATCTAGTGTATTTTTTAGCAAATGGTTTGCAGCAAAATTTGAGTTCAAATGACAGGAACACAAAAAACAACACATCATCTGTGACTTAATCCTAACTTCTATTGCTGTTTACCAAGCAAAGCACCTAAAAGAGTGTAAATCAGCATTCCTGGTGAACCTTACACAAGCACCAATTAATATTTAAGCGTTACAAGTACAGAAGGAAGCTCTCTAGCTGCATCCGTCTAATACAAGCAACCAGCTTAAAGGCTCTGGTACACGAGAAGTAAGCTGCAGGCCGCCTACTGGCCATTCTAAGGCGGCGTGAGGGAGTGGGTGATTAATCTTGAGACGGGACGG